TGCAAACAGTTGGAAAAGTATATCTTTAACTATGTACCCCTCCTACTGTCGACTGCTGCAGTTAGAATGCAACCCCTTTTATTAGGACCCACACTTTTTTTGACAGTCTGAATTGCAATAAGACTGCCATGAAGATATACCTTCATTGTAACATTTTATTTTTTCAGTTATCCATTGAACATAAAAAATAAGTTCTAGTCTCTGAAAATTATATGGATAAAATATTGATAGAATAGAATAGAATAGAATAGAAAAACTTTATTAGTCCCATAGGGAAATTGAGGTTGTCTGTTTGTCCTTATAAGCCATGTCTCATTTTATCAATGGTTTCAAGTAAAAAAAGCTGCAGGATATACAGCGAAAGAGGGCAGTCATCCCAGATTCCCAAAGCTAATGGGTTAACAAATAAAAGAGGATTAGCTCATTAGATTAATGACGACATTAACTGTAAGAGGATCCAAGAGTACCGTAGAAAATGCACAGGATGAAGCTACAAAGTGACTCAAACATGGAGAGGATTGTTGTATAATTAGAAAAAGCTTGTCAGAGCCAAATAGAGAGCGATACTTAGCTGTTGAAATGGATGGCGTCTCTTTCAGAGCAGGCTGTTTAAGGTCAGCCCGTGTAACCGTGCGTGTGTGTAACCGTGCGTGTGTGTAACTGTGCGTGTGTCAATCAGCATTTAATTGACAGGAAGATTAAAGCTCACATCTGAGGGCCTCTCTTTTTGCTGAAGCATGCCATGTTGAAGGAGTCTGGTCTCCAGCGTCTGCCCAAGGTTTGGGGTGCTGCGCTCAAGGTTAGCTGGGGCGCCCCGCTGAGCGTGCACTGTCTGAGATGGGTCCTACTTGTTGGACATTCATTATCAAACTCTGTTTGCTCCTTTCATCTGAAGCTCTCTGCAGCACTCAGCATAAACTACAGAGGCACCTTGCAGCTTGACATCTCTCCATTCAGTCTGTACCTTAAACAGCATGCTGCCACATCAAAGAGCCGTGGCTGCCTTTGATGTTGCAAAAAAGAAAGAGCGCCAATGATCTGCTAAAAACCAATGCAACTTTTTGAAGCCTTGTTTTATTCATTTGCTATCTCTAAAGGTCTGGAGTCAGTTTCTTAAAGTCCACACGACAGGCTCTGATTTTGAAGAAGTTGGACAGCAGCTTTTGCTTTATAATGTGAAATAAGAAAAGTTTAGTAGCACATTATATCCCTGGAGTATAGATTTCTTTTTCCATGAATATCCTATTAAATGCCACATTTGTTCAGTTAAAGGGGATTACCTCAGAGCTTGAGGAATGAAGTATGTGTGAAATAGCAAAGTAAAAGCAGAGTTCTTTGAAATTACTGTACAGGAAATTTTATTCCATATCCAAATTCAAAGAGTTATTCATATAGTTTTAATTTTGATTTATATGAATGTTTGACACCAGATGAATTTTTACACAGGATGTTCAGTTAACGGACTGGGGAGAGATGAAACATTAGTTTGCTTGGTAAAACATATCTCAGCACACCTGCAGTTGTAAATGCCAAATTTTACAAGTCTTACTGGATAAATAACAATATTTTTTTTTTATTGAAAAGCAATTCTGATAGGTATTAAAAGTATAAATGCAGATAATTCTTACGTTAATGCCTTTTTTCTATACATGAAGCCCTCATAAACACATCTTAACATTCACATAACATCCAGCAGTTCACAATATTGCAATGCTTATTTAAAAAAAAAAAGTTAGCCATTAAGTGCTAAGGAAAACAGCTGCCTAGCAGCAAATTTAAATAGTGACTTTTAGTGCCAGCATGCACTGTAAGTAAAGTTGTCTATGTTGTGTCTTGGAATAAACCTCGTCTATTTGTAGTTTAACCCTCTCAGGCTCAAATTACCTGAAAAGACTGTTTAAGTTGTTGCAAATCTGCAACCCCTGCCTGGAGAGGGTTAAAATACAAAGCAACTTACCTCAGGAATAACAAAAGGAAAAAGCAACAGCAAAATTTTTCAACTGTATGTACTGTTCAATAGCTACTGGAAAAGACAAGAATTTTGTCTTTCACTATTCAGAAAGCACTTGCTTCATTCTTGTTGGTTGTGCGGAAGGCCCTTTTTCTGCTTTTCAAAGGTTGTACAATTGCACATCTGTTTGTAGTCATCTTCACACGCGAGGGTAAATATTGAGCTGGGAGGGCGTGGCAAGGAGCAATTCTTTTGGATGTAAAGTGGCAAGAGGCCCAAACAGTTCATTCTGAAAAAAGTTCAAAATAGGCAGAACTAAGCAGACTAAAATCTCATTCTATAAGAATGATTTTGTGCAAAAAACATTGTGAATACGTTTTGTATAGCCCACACACCGATCCTAACTTGTCTAAGGAAGCATAGGTCACCTTTAAATATAAATTAGATTGTCTTCTGGGGCCATTTGATCTCTGAGCAAATAGTTATTCAGTTACAAAGTAAAGAGAGTTTCAGCAGATTTATCTGAATGGCATATGATTGATTCAAGAGAATACAAGCCATAGTCCAAAACTGATTTAGAAGTAGCCTGTCTCACCAGTATCAGCATGAGGATTACAGGCTGAATTTAATCCTGTTAATTATAATTTCATCAGATATATGCAAGAACCAAGGGGCAGCTCAAAGGAACATTTAATGTAAACGGCCACTGGGTCAGAAACACTGAAATTTAGCACTTTGTCAGCTTATTTCCTAATCGTATGAACTTGACAATAATTGAAGTATTTTATTTCTGCCCCTCTTTCCACACATAAAAGGCAGCCACAGCAATTAGTTTTAATTTTCTCTTTCCCACTCTTCCTTTTCATGTTCTTGAGTAGGCTGGAACCAGCGTATTCTGATCATTTGCATTATCCAAAGCAAATCTGCTTTGAAGTTCTAAGATTCTCTGCAGAAAGGGAGCCACTTATCCAGCATGGAGGGAAATAAGCGTTAACGGCTCATAAATTCGTTGGAACAGATGTACCTTATCACTGGATTTGCTTTTTTTTTCCTTCAACCCTTTTCAGTCTATATTGGAAAGAGACTATCTCATGTCCCCCTGATCCCTTAACATTTAGCATCCTTCCTTTGCAGTAGCTGACACCCTGCTGTGCCAATCCACACTTCAAAGCTTTCTGCATATCAGCTGGAAACAAAACAAACAGGACACATTATGGCAGTCTCTCATTTCCTCACATTAAAGTCAATATGACAGTGTTCTTTGTGTGTTTATCATTTTAGTTTTTAAGCTTTCATATTTCAAAGTGGCTAAGTACAAAGTTAATCCATTATTTAACGTAATGCATTGTGTTCCAGCAATGCAAAAATAACAATTTAGATGGGCCCAGCAAAAATGTATCCAAATATGCCCCTCTTAATTTAACTGCTGAAGTATGCAAGCTTTTCATTCATAATTTGACATTTGAAAAACCAGAGTTTCCAAAAAAATGAATGTACTAAAAAAACATAAAAGTTACAAAAGACAACTATATACTAAATATAATCCACCTTCTGTTCTGGAATATCTTCTGGACTGGAAGTTATTCTGTTCTCATCAGACTTTGTTTGGACCAATATTAGTGAAACACATTTGATGTTACTCACCTTAAAATATCTAAAAACCATAACTCTCCAAGACAAAACTCTTCAAGAATGTAAATGCCTTAAACGATGAACTGAAAAAAAAAAAAAAAACCTTTGAGATGTTGACCTGACATTTTACAGAACTTACAGGATCTCCCCTAAAATCCTGGTGCAAGACACCAACAGGTTACTTTCATGGGTCAGGAGTCCATGCCTCAATGGGCCATGAGTGCTTTCACCTCACACGAGGCAAGAACACATTATTAGCCAGGTGGTGATATTTAATGTCATGTGTTTGCTTTTTACCATGAAAAATATGCAGCCATCATTGCTTGATATCAAAGTTTTTTGACTGGTAAGGAAGTTGCATCAGATGCAACTGTTTTAAAACTTAAATCTCAGTAGGATTGTTTTAATCTGGTAATATAAAGGTAAAAAAAAACAAGTGTGGGTTCTCCTGTGGTACTCGGGAGATTGCTTAGAGAAGTAAACTCAGTGGCCTGTGTTTGTAAAGACTATAACCCTCTTCCTCCACCTTCCAATTACACAGTGTGTTGATTCATCACAGGACATTCTAAGTTTGTCTGCAGCATGACAAAATGTGAAAAAATAAAAGTGTGATTTTTCTTTTTTTTCTTTTTTTTTTGCTAATACGACACTCAGATGTGCCTAAAAGAGCAAAAATTAATGTACAAATAAGTTACAGCAACATATTCTTTAAAAGAAAAGGTACCCTAAACATCTTTCTTTTAGGCCATCTGGGACAGGATGAATGTTCCTACTGCCAGCATGGCAGTAGTTGTGAGATATGAGTTATGGGCTCAGTGGAGTCTGCAAGCCGGGCTCCAGGGTTAATCGGCACCAGAGGAATGAGACAGCTGAGAGAGCCATCGCCCCGCCGCATCACAAACAGAGCTCTGTCAGCTGAGTAGTGAGGACACATGGCAGCACAGCAAAAGACCTGCTGACAGCCGTGGTACAGACTGATGGGGTGGAAACAGAGGGAGCAGCTCGGAGATCATGGGACACGGCGTCAGGGAGGGAATGCCAAAATCCAGCGTGCCAACATTCTGCATGCTGAATAAAAAAAATATATGTGAAGACAAAAGAGAATGACACATAAGTCAAACTTGATCTGGACTGGTCAGGAATCCTGGCCTCCAATGGGCCTCAGTGGGCCCATAGAGGGTGAAGTTTTCATCAATCTGTGATGAAAACTCACCCTCTAACAGGACAAGTTTACAGTAAACGCAGTCCAATTTAAGCAAATTTCACATCCCGGCTCCAATGGGAGCCGGGATGTGAAACCAGGAGTCCTGGCCTCCAATGGGCCTCAGTGGGCCCTTAGAGGGTGAAGTCATCACTCTGTTACAGTTGGATGTAAAGGTTAGAACAGGGAGAAAATTAATGGAAATCTGAGTCAGGGTTCAATTACATGTTTTACTGAAGTTCCTAGTGGTCATAATAAAAATGTAGTTTCCACAATGAATACATGAATAAAGCTTATAAAATCAATGACAGTATAAATACCTTATGTACAGCAAATGTTAGTTCATAAATCAGAGGAGGCTTTCTAGTTTTCAGAGCTGCAGTTTTGTGACATGATTCATCTTCATTCAACAAAGTTTAAAAGTGATTTTGAAAATGAATGCTTGCTTAACGTTTCCATCAGAACAACAATTCGGATAAAAAACAGAGGTAGAAGCGGATCTGGGATAAATTATACTGTTTCAAAGTTTTCCTTCCCCTTTATGCCTACAGTGTATTACGGGTTATATTTTATTTTTTCAAAACTCTGCTGGGGAGCTTGTTTTAAATTCTGAGCACACTTCCAGTGGTTTCCAACACACACCAGTGTAGTGATGCTCAGACACAAATTTTTCACAAATTGCTCGTCGCCCATAATCCTTCATATATTTTTGTATTACAGTCACAGCTTCCTCGTCGTGTCCCTCCTCTTCCTTTTGATTTAGTGGTCTGGGGAGTGTTGGGATGCTGGTCTGATGGTCTAAACGTCAGCAGGTCTGAACCGGGTTGCCTCCTGAGCCTTCGTGTGATTTTCAGTCCAGCTACTCAACATGGGCTTTTACTCACTGTCCTACTGCATACCAAAGCTTCTCTATGTCAGACCAACATTTTATAGCACTGGTTATGAAACATTCCAGCGCTGGCACACGCTGGCCGTCGCCCTCATGTCCTCCCCATGTCCTGTGCCTGTGCTGCCAGGTGCAATGCTGCAGTCAAAGTCTGCTGGCCTGGTTGTTTTCTGTGGCAATGCAAAGGCGCTGAGCCATCCCAGGCAGGCTAGAACTTCAGGACTGGTAAAAGTGGTGGTAGTGGTGATGGTGTTCATGGTGGTGGTGATGTTCATGCCGCTGCACTACTTGTGCCAGTCCACCCTCATACAGCAACACACTTGGGAGGTCCCTGACCTGCTCTTTCTCCACTATAGGTCCCGGAGAGCCAAGAGAGCCTAAGGCCCGGTAGCCTTGGCTCTCCTTGGATCGCTGTTTGTGTTTGCGGTATGGGGCTGCCGACTGATGAGGGGGTGTCTGGGAGGGCAGAGCCGGGGGAGGCGGGGCACCTCGACTCCTCATCACCCTCCCACTGTTTTGTGCAGGGGGTGTGCGGCTGTGAGTCTTCGGAGAGCGAATGCCATGCCGCCCAGCATCCTGGCCTCTGGGCCGGGCTGGGTGAAGGCTCTCTGCAGCAGGAGTGTCCACGGCCGACTGCAGCCGGCGGTGGTGTGAGTGGGCGTGTCCGTTTTCTGGTTCATGTGAGCGAGAACGGGCCTGGTTGGATGAGCGAGCCTGAGCCTCTACCTTTGCTGGTTCTGCAGCAGGACCTGTCCCAGAGAGAGACGATAATATTATTCTAAAGAACTCTTAACAAAACATTTATTTCGTGACTGAACTGTTTGATGTTGGCAGTCAAAACCATGGGAAGTAAACTAGAAGTTATTTTAGTATTCACTTATTCTGATGATTAATCGGGTAACAAATTAGTACATTATACAAATTTTTCATTAAATCACGTCATCCTTCTTATGCAATATTAACAAAACATTTAAAAAATGTTAATGAACAAATAAATTCATTTTTTAATAAGAAAATATTGTCTATCATGACATAACATAGCATTCCTTTGGATACTTTAAATTTTGATCATTTGTAGCTAAAAAAAAGTACTTGTAGCAATCAACATGTGAAAAGTTCACCCCTTTCTGTTTGACTTAACATCAATTTGACTTAACATCAATTTTGGATTAGCGAATGCTGAAATAATTTTCTGTCTAAATTTGTATTTTTAATATAACTGCAAAGCTTTCAGTGGCCTTAAAATCAAAATTTTAATCCATCACAGTCCATGCTGTTGATTGGTGGGTTTATAGATCAAAACTAGTGAGAGTTCTTCACTTATTTCTATACGCTTACAGTAAACTGAGTTGCCTTTTAATAATAACATATCGTCAATAAAAACCTGCAGGTACATTTCAGATTATTTTGAGACTGCAGCAATTTCTTCTCCACGACCATGTAGTGACAGTGGACAGTTGATTGCATTGATTCCCAGAAAAATGACAATATCCTGTTTTGTTTTGAGAGTTTTGCAGATTGTTGTTCTAAGCAGAACCTTTTTTCTGCCTGGTATTCAAATATGAAGGTCTTTTGAGGTAGTGTGAGACATAAAAACACTTCCTGGGAGTTCTGCACTTTACTTTTTGTGAAGTATGAAATGTCCTTGCCGACCAATAACAGTGACTCCAAACCTTAGTTTCTTTTTTTTTTTTATCCCAAAATCCTATCATACTTCTTAGAATAATACAATTATCAGAACTGTCTTTAAATTCCTAAAAGACCATAAAACTCTTGGTAGATATTAAATGCTTCATCAGTTTAATAATTACTTGTTGAGATTTCTAATCACAAAGCTTCTCTTTCTGCAGTAGTTAAAAGAGAAAAAAACTCACAGAGATATTAGTTTGATTAATTCTAAATTAAGTTGCGTCTCAAATATTTTTCTTATGATTTTTGGTTTAAAAAAAGAGTGTCTGAATTTTCAGACATCTCTTCACAGTTGACCAAAGTCGCAGATGTTAGAAATTTAGCTGTGTTCTTAAGTTTAACCTGGATTTTCTGAGTAATACGTATCACAGAAAAAACAAACAGGCATTGCCTCTGGAAACATATTGGCTCTACATTTACACAAAATAGATAGATACAATCTAGATGTGTGAAGCTCAACGCAAAAACTCTCCAATCTTATTTCAGGATCTTTTCCTTTTGGAAATCCTAGACACAGAGGATTCCTTTTAGCACTTCCCTACAACAACACAATAACGGCATGTCATCACTGACTGGCAGATCAAGCCTGAAACTTTTTCAACTTTAAGAATTTCCCCTCACACCATCCCGTCCTGTTGATGGACTTTCCCCTCAAACACTCGATGTATTGTGCTTGCCTGAGCCCAGATGTTTGTGCTGGCGAGGTACGCAGAAGGCCGGTCGTCCCACCTAATGGTTCTAAGCAGGTGCGGCAATAATGACGGGCTTCAAAGGGCCGTGGTCTGCCTCCCGTCCTCCCCACCCATCTTTACCCCGGTCCACTCACCAGCTCCAAAGCGGGACGTGTAGTTTTCAATGCCTGCAAGGTCCAAGTAGTGGTTCCTGCGTTCCAGGTTCTCGTCCACACAGTGGCGCTGGCAGCCAGACTGGGTGTGGTGGTCGCTGTGGTGGCGCCTGTGGAAATGAGTGGCACCTCTCATTAGGAAGCAGTTTGGGGAAGATAAACAAGCGTTGCTTGTGGTCAGGTAGAGGCAGGACAACTGTTACAGAGCTGGGATTGTTACATCTCAAGTTGCTGAATGTGGACAGAAGAAAAACAGCAAAGGTTTTGTTGTGCAAAACAAATGATTTAGGTTAGAACGCCTTCAAAATATAACAGAATATTTGTATCTCTATAAAGAAAAGGATGTACAGGTGCTTCAAAATAAATAAGAATATAACTTAAAAGCATTTTCATAATTTAAATCAAAAATTTTATTTTGTAAATTATTTAGATTAATTATGCATAAAGTGATTCATTTCAAGCATAATAAGTTCTATTTTTATTTGAGTTTATGTGATGGCAATGCTATGGCCTCCACAGTCATACTGCTGTAACTGGAACTTGTTATGAGACACGAGAAGCCGATCTTATCTACCGATATTAGCTACCCTGGCAAAGGTAAAAAAAAAAAAAAGGTTAGGCTTTATAAAAGATTGGTTTTCAGCCAGAGAACTGTAATCAGTGGAGCCCTAGTTTTGGGGGTTCTTAACATATCAACATCAGCTACAGCTGTCACATCACTTGTTAAATCACTTGTGAAACACATGCAACATCAGAAGTGTCTTTAGTTTGCTAAAAAGAAAATTTCTCAGTGTTTTAAAGCCCTATTTTCATTTTAAATTCAGAATTTGATTTGGATACAAAGCTCCCAAACTCTGAAACAAAAGTGGAGAGCAACTGAATCCAAGGGGATCCTTGGATCCCTTGTAAGGATCCCTTATAAGGATCCCCTTGAAATCCCCTTGAATTCAAGGGGATTTCAAGCCATCTAGGAAGTTTTCATAGATGGTGATAATTTGAGGAGCCATGTTATCTGCTGGTGTTGGTCCACTATATGTTATCAAGTCCAAAGTCAATACAGCCATTACCAGGATTTTTTTAGAGCACTTCATACTATGGCAACCTTTAATGTCTCATCTGAGATAGAGGTTTTATTGAATCTGTTTTAATGTTTTGTATCACTGCCCAGTGCGGTAAGTCATCTCTGGCCAATAAACCAGACTTTGGACCCAGGTTAAAGTGGCTGTTAAAGTTTCAGGGAGGAGTCAGATTCAGCTTGTGGAATTCAATAACAAGTCGTGGAAGGCAACCTCTGTCATCATCTCCTTAAAAACTTACCAATTCTTCCTCAGTTCAATGGCATAAATGATCTTCAGTAAAGACCAAGAGTAACAGATTTTCTTTTTGTACCTGCTCCTTTTGTTATGCTTAGTAGGACTTGACAGGATTTACTGTATTTTATGGACTGCAGATTTATTTTTCCATGAAGGATAAAGAAATCCAAACTGATCCCTCTGCTGACAAGCTTTAATAAAATGTTAAGTTCATCTTCCAGGATTACTTGCCACTTCATCACACTGACAGAAGCGTATAAATATTTCAGTTGTGGTATTTCTATCATGAATCATTTTAATAGGTCTAATGTAATTATTCAGATATCTCTTATGTAATGTTTAAATTTCTGATAAACTAAATGTTGTGTTTCATTAGATGCAAACCAAATAAATTAACTTTTTGATGAAATTTGGATTTACAAGGATGCAAATGTCAGGTTACTATATTTTGGAGACACCAGAAGCATCAAAACGTGAGTTTACAAGGAGCTGGGTTTACCTGAGGAGAGCTCGAGACTTCTTGTCTGCACTCTTGAGATCATCTATGCATTTGTCATTTTTCTCCCTGGAGTGGGACACATCTGAGAATGCACAAAGACACAGGGGGCTATTACCAAAGGGAGCAATGCAGAGAAGCCACACACACCCACACAAAACACCAGGCACACACACTCAGAAGAAAGCAACCTTTGTTTTAGAGTTTCACTTTGAAGATCTATAGATAAGGAAAAACAACAGTGCTTCATTTATTTTATTTTCAACTCCCAGCCTCTTATAAGGAGCAGAATACCATAAAAACCAGGCTGGTTTCAGCAATAGTATTATTAGGATGTGGGATCTGATGCAATTTGAAATTAGCATGAAGGCAATCTTTTCAAAGCTTCCTCCATCTGAATCTCCTGACAGATATTTATAGACAAAACAATAGGACGCAAACACTCAGGAATATATACTTTTTGAGATATTTTCCTCTGACTACTTGTTTGCCAAGTCGTCAGTGAGGAAAGTTATGTTGAACGCTGCTATATTTTCCCCACAGCTCTGAGAAAGGAGGACAAAGAGAGGGGGAGAAAAGAGGAAAAAGGGGAGTACTGGAAAAAAGAAAATGGCTGTGGTTATCAAAAGGACTTGGCACATTTCTTAAGGTTTCTTTTAGGGTATTTGAAGGCGGCAAGGGAGGGGAGGGGGCGCTCTCTCTCTCTCTCTCTCTCTCTCTCTCTATGGAGTCACCCCCCCATCATTAAAAATGAACCCCATTGAGTGGGAGGGATGGAGAGATGCAGAAACTGCAAGGAAACAAAGCTCTGACAGGCCTGAAGCGTCCGCCTTTCTGCATGACAACAAACAAGTCTCTTAGTGAGCTGTCAGCACAGATCCACTGATGGAACTTCAGAGTCGCCTTTTTTTCTCAACAGCTGCCCCACACTGAGTTAACGTGACACTTACCTGTGGCACCCTGAGCACAGCTCCTCCACCGCTGGCTTGAGTCTGGAGCGACGGAGAGCTTGACCCGCAAAGTCTTGCTGTTGCCAGGAGAGTGGTTAACCGAGGCGTCCACCACCTCGTAGATGGTGTGGAGCAGGCTGGTGATGTCCTGTAGGGAAGAACAGGGGATAAATCTGAGAGTGTCCTGGAAAAATGTAAAACTTTTCACAAACCTCGATGGACGTTATTGGAAATTTTTATAACAGACAACCACAAAGTACAGCATAATTGTAAAGTGGCAGAAAACGACACCTAATTCTCAAAATTATTTTACAAATAAAAACCTGAAAATCTTGGCCTACATTTTTTTCATATATGTATGTATGCCCTCTATTGTTGTGAATTATGGAAGTGAAACTGAAACAACTGGGGTTAAACTAGAAATAGAAATTTTTATGACTTTCTTTTTGATATATAAACCAATTTTTTTATGGAGTGTGGAACTGTTGGTTTTTCTGCCAACAGAGCTGTGGATCTCTGCAGTTTCACCATTTGACTTCTTCTTTCCTGACTTGCACATTGTTGTGGATGGTCATGCTTCAGTAGGCTTGTAATGTAAGATGTCCATTTGCACATCATGCATTGGACAGCTCCCTAAAATGTTCAAACTGAACGAGATTGTTTCATATAATTACCTTGCTTTCAACTTTTCAATATTGCTTAAAAGCAATTGTTTGCACTGGATGCTTTTCATAGGCAGATCTGAGAGCACTTGCATTCCGCACTATTCAGATGTTTGTTCAGGAAACTCAGGTATAATTTTGCTTCCACTTCACACTTGTGCTGGTCAGTGTCAGTCTAACACATAATAGATGAATGAAATGTGTTAGAATTTGTCATTGCAACATGACAAAAACTTAGAAAAAAAAATAAGTCTCAATACTTTTGGAAGTGTATCTGTTTGTGTTAATTATTTTCAAGAAATGCTTTTTGTATCAAGTAATGCTCACATGCTGGAAATCATAAAAGATACGAAAAAGGTGAAAGGTGAAATATCTTCAGGCATCTTTTACATCACAAACTTTTTGAAAAAGATTTTAAATAAACATCTTAAATTCAAGGATGAACTTTACAAATATTTTCAGTGTACGATTAAGATTTTTTTTCTTTACATATTTATTTGGCCTGCCACCAATTTTGTGTTTCCTCGATGCAGCAGTTATGAACGTTATGAACTGTTTACAATTCATAAATTAACTTTCCATTTTCTCTGTTTTTTTACTTTGGAAGAAACAGCTGGATGTTACTTTTAATAATTTACTGAAAATTAATCCCCACAAAGACTCAAATTACTCAGATATACTCAGTGTACTACTCTGAAATTGTTCTGGTACTAGTTCCATTCTGGTTTTATACATAAAGCAAGTAAACAAAAAAATGAAACAAAAGAAATTCTTTTTGTGTTTCTCACTTCACTTGTTTCTTCAGTGAAGTGACTAATAAAAGCATCGTAGTGGAAGACACAGCTTTTTCTCCCCTACCAAGTCACTGTCTGCCATCTCAGGAGCCACAGAGCCACAGGCAGCGCCAAAAACCTGCACAACCAGCCACACAGAGGAGTGCTGTAGTCACTCTTCACCGTTTCAAGTTGTTCTTGAAAAAATGCTTTTCTGGATGTTTTGTCAGATCTTTATCCGGCAGACGCAGGCCACATTGAGCAGTGCCTTCACTGAATTTGCCTATAGAGTGAATGCTACTTTCTTCTGGCTTTTTTTTATTTGGGGTTGGTTAAGTGTTAATAGGCAACATGGATGTTTTTATTCTCCAAGATGAGGTTGAATATTGATATTGTGATATTGATATTTTTTTATTAAATAAAAGAAATGCTTCTTTAATGCAGTGATTGAAACCTAAAAATGAATGCTAGTAAACATTGGGGTGGATTGTCAGTCCTTTTAAAGAGTTACAATTAGCTGTTTTAAGTAAATATTACCTCCCGAGTAACTTTGCCATTGTTGTCAAAATCATAGAGGGTAAAGGTCCACTCTTGTCTGTTGTCCTCCTCCACAGACACAGCACACTCCAGCTCCTGAAACAGTTTCATAAAGTGCGCATGTGAGATCAAGTCCTGCCACTGGCCCAGTTTTACCCGCAGGGGGAAGTGATAAACCTCCCGCTCTGCGTTGACACTCACTTCAAACTGGAGCTGTTTCTGTGGCCCCGCGGGAGACCGGCTGTCCCTCTCCTGCATCTTCTCCTCCACGCAGCAGCTGTCTGTCTTCTCCGGGGGTAGAGCGACTGCGGCAACACACACAAACGCACACAGCAGTGAGCGCACGGGCACAAAGATAAAAGGGATAGCCTGAGGACAGAAACGGTGGGTGCCGTCTTAACTTGAGGACATGTCGTCCCTTTCTAGTTTTACTTGTAAGCTCATGCTTCCACGTTTGGCAGCTGAAATTAAGATGTAGAACATCTTAGAGCCTGCCTTAGAGCAAAATTGTACAACACAAATCAGACTTTTTTTTTACAACTTTTTTATTGAAAATAGTGTTTTATAAGTGGAATCGCTGTTTTGGGACTTTTGCATTACTAAACAACTAAATCAAAGGTCATTTCTTTGGCTTTTCTGGGATGCTTTGATGCACAGAACTTGTAGTTATTTACAGTATTCATGATCCCGCTCAAAAGCTGCAGAAAATCAAAGCACAGTTTGGCTTTCACAGTTCAAAAATAGTTTTTATGTCAGCAATGAGAGAAAAACAGATCTGAGAGAGAGTGTGGTCAGGCTGAAACACTTTTAAAGATTCAAAAATGTGATGCCTGAAACTCCCTTAAGATGCCTCTATTAGCACTGAATTCACATTTATGCTTCCAGAGCAAATGAAATAACTTACAAATATAATGAATGTATCAATAAATATGACTCAATAATTTATATTAGTTATAACATAAAAAATAAACAAGAGTGACAGCAATTGACCCAGACAAACTCAGTCCAATGTGGCTGGTGCCAATTACTACTATGGTGGAGGTGTCACTGGAAACCAGCATTGAAGGACGGCAGACCCAGAGTCATAAAACGCTGATCAGACGGTCACATTATACACAGCAGGGACATTATTGAGTAAAAGATTTGAACAGTATGTCAGGAAAGAACCAAGAATCTTAACATAATTGTCTCTCTGATTGCTAATAAAACAATAAATCCTTTTGAGACTCAGTAAAGACACTGTCTGAAATAAAATCTAAATATCTTTTGCTCAATAACCAATGAATTATATGAATGGGGAGTTAATAATTCAACTTATGGATTCGTGTAACTCTTGTTTTTCTTCATTAAAGGATTGATTTAAAATGTCCAAAGTGACAGATCACACTGACATGCTATTGGATAATTCAATGTCACATGGATGCCTATTTATCATGATGGATCAAAATATTACAAGGATTCTTTGTAATTATTATGGTTGGATCTTGGGTTAAAGCTAAAGCAGCAACATTAGCTGCCCTACTTTAAAATTGTGAAAGTATTTTTTTATATACTTATATGTCGTGTTTTTTTTTTTTTCACAAGTCCACATAACTTACAGTTAAGCAGGAATTATAATGCTCGATCCTTGCACATTTCTGTAAGTTTGTCTCAGTCATGGCTGCTTTATCAGCTCCATTTAACATGGATTAAAAGCCAATGCAGTACATTCACAGTAAAATGAGGCAGCACACACCCATATAGTCACACAGACCACGCCCTTCTCCCCCATCCTCTCATCCTGCCGCACTTTGAAGTTCTATTCTCAAACCTTTTGGAAGAGGATCAGACCAGCTGTAAAACAGAATCATTAATTAATTAAGCCAAGTCAAATTTGAAACGCTGTTTGTTTGTTCGCCAATGGAGCAGACACAACAGACCAATTTCTTTCCTCCTGATCCAACGAAGATCAAAGCAGACCTGGGCGGGGGAGAATGCCAGAAATGAAAGGCTTCATCCCAGGGAGCTTTTACCAACTTTTTGGAGAGGAGCAACACTTGGGGTCCTGCTGTCTGATCATTTGAGGTGCTCAAAGGAAACATTGTGTGCAAGGGAAAATCTGTTCAGTAGTAGGCTCAATATGGCGAGGAGATACTTATCTTGGGGTTAATGAAATTCCGGGAGGAGTAACAGTAATCTGCTATCACCCTCCTCCCTCGCTGACCCCTTCCCCGTCGCAGACAGAAACCGGCTCCTTACAAGTGAAACTGCAGCCAAGGAATTGGCCGCACATCAGATCCGAGGGGCGAGACGAAAACAGCAGAGGCTGGCACCCGCCGCGCTTTCTTCACACGTGCAGGGCTATTTTTCACACGCATGCAAACCATGGCAGGTTGGGAGAGCTGCCATGTACCATGAGGAGTCGGCTGATCTGAAATGCCGTGTTAGACATAACTGGGTCTCATAAACACCAACGGCAGTAAATTACTATGAAAATGTCCAGCATTTGAAGAACTTCTTCCAAAATAGAACTTTTATTTCAATCACTGAGATTCTTCAAAGGCTGTTTGTGCTTTTGCATATGAATCCAGGTAGTAATTTTGCAACATATCCTTTGGGTTCTTTCATCTCGGATTTCATCTCATTTCCTTTGCAATTTTAGCAGAAAAGTTCTCTTTTAATCCCAATAAAAAACTTTCTCCGGATGTACTTCTTTCTGCCTTAAAGAAAGAAATCTTTCATCTCCCCTCGATGTTCTTTTGTGCTGGGTTTCTGTAGTTCCCCCATAGTCATTTTTTTAAATTTGCTCTACTTTTTAATATCACTGAGTTATCTGTAAATCACGCAGGAGTTTGTCATAGTTTTCTGTATGCGTTAACTATTATGTAAGAAATCAGTAGAGATTAAAGGCTGGTTACAGGCATCAAGGTGTAGTTGATTGACTGAGACTTTTAGAAAGACAGGAAAGTTCCCAGATTTTCACTTTGCCTGTTAATCTCATGGGATGAATAGAGCAGTGTAGTCTAATTAGCAACATCTGTCTTTGTGGGAGGACAGCTTTGACCAAGATACATTATCTCTCTTCTTTCTGGTACAACCCAGGGAAGCTGAACTTAAACAAAGGTAAAATTTATTTTGCTTTTATTCCAAATTCTGGGCTGGCCTCGTTAAATGGTAGATATCAGCCTGCACCTCACGTCCAGCACTGTCTTTAAATGGGAGGGAGACTTTCTCCTCCCAGTGCACTTAATCCAGGATCACGTCAGAGAAAAAGATGGAGGAACCAAAGCACTCTGCCTACAGCAGCTGAAGAGTGGCAGATAAGAAGTGAAGGGGGCATTTGAGAAGAAGGCAGCCTGAGAGTTTAAAAGGAGACGTTAGAGAGTGGATGGGGAAAACAGATGACAGACTAATTCAACTTAATCAACAACAGAACTGAATGAAACTGAATTAAAGTGGAAATTGATACCATGTTACTTGCTTATTTGTTTATTAACTTGCTCTATTTTTAGTTTGCTTTCAGGACAGAAAAGGGAAGAAAATGTTTGCTTTGGCAAAATATTATATTGATGTTTGCTTTGCTGTAATTTGCTAACTAAAAACTAATGAACATATATAATTAAAAGTGCAAACTGAAGCAAAATCAACAAAATGGATTGGTGTTTAACATGTAAATTCAGCTTACCTTCTAAACGATAGTGTTCATCAATGATCCCCTCCCCACATGCATCAACCATTGAGTCCTAGAGACAGAATAAAAACAAGATATACAAAATCACTGTTTTGCATTCATGTAAAAGAAGTCATGTCAAACAAAGAGCAAAGACCAGCCTTCTCAAAAAGTTGCCCTTACATCACCAAGAAAATGCTAGCATTTAAATTACAGCTTTTGCATATCTATATATGAACAAAGTTTGACAGTTGCAAGCTGAGCTTAAACAGCAGTGGAAAGTTTAAAGGCACAGTAATTGCAGGACTCCAGCAAAATGAGCATGAGATTGGCAGTTAGATTTCAGATGACGAAACAAGCATCTAAATCACCGTCTCTGAATGTACTGGACTCTGAGCGAGAGGTCCGGTAGTAGAGCTATTTCTGTGGGTCACTATCATAATCGATTGATACGTCCAGACGGGTTGTTTTTATCCTTATTTGGGACACCATGCCTGTTGGTGCATACCACAGAGAATGGAGGGACATGTGATCCACAGGCTTAGCTGTGGAAAATATCTGGCTCCAGTATCCGTGTGGTGCTACAGTCATTTGGCTGGAAAACCATTACTCACATATTGACAACCACAAAACATTCACACGCAGGCAAAGATCTACCAGCAACATTTCTAATGTAAACAATCAGTCTGCTAGTCCTAGATTCAGATCGCTGCTTAAACAATAACGCTTAAGGATGTATTTACAATACTTCCATGCATTAAACACATTTTTCTGGAAATAAATACATTTTGCTGCAAATAAAGCATTTTGCACACAAAATACTGAATTTACGCCCATTCTTGTTCGGATTAGATTCCTTGTCAACAGCAATGCTAATCTTTTATCACAGATCAAGGATCTTGGTAGCATGATGCTGCCACCATGGCTTGTTTAGGCTGATTTGAAGTATTATTTGTTGGATGCAGGCCAAATACAAAGAAGACTGTTTATTTAACACATAAAAACACCCAAAAGTATTTTTTTTAATTCTAGTTGTAACATAAGGCAACATGTAAAAGTTCAAAAGGCTTACATACTTTTTACTCGATTGTGTAAATTTTACTGCATCTGAATATGAACAAATAAAACATTTATTCCCTAATCAACAAACACTGTATCTATTAGTATTTAAAACTGTGATGTAAATAAAAATTACTTTAAGTTCTAACATCGTACCATAATAACTACAATAAATAAAAGGAATTTCTTGTAGGTTCATCTGCACTTTTTTACATTTATCAAAATATAAACATGAAAAATTTGATATCAAAATTAAATACTTATCCATTGTTATATTTTGAAAAATTATAACTAATAACACAGTTAATAAAATCAAGTTTCTATCTCGCTTTGTAAAATGATTTCTAACTAAGTTAACAGTGTGCTTGAATGTCCAATTAACATAATTAATTTATACGATGTGGTCATCGTATGATTTATGTTTTACCTATTAGAGTATGAGATCCAGAAAGGAAGGAGCTCAGATATTATTATTATAACCTTCTGGGTTTGATGGTGGCGACAGTGCAGCACTGTGGGTGGCCTCAGTCAGAGAATAACTGCTGCTGAATGAAGACATAAAGTTTGATGTGCCAAAACAAGCAGCTGAGATGTTGTATTTCCTATTTGTGCTGTCAAGTCAAGATTTTTATGAGTCTCTCAGGATTTTAACACATAACTGACCAAAACATAAGTGGTGAATAGTGTGTTAAATGACTATTACTATATCTTTGTAAATATTGTTTATTATTATAATTTCAGCAATGGTTAATGTTTATCTGCTTCAGTTTGAAAGACAAATACAGATGTAGAATAGATTGTCTTTCTTCTGGAATAAATAATTTTTAACCACAAATATCAATTAAAAAAAAATATATATATATATTTATAGGTCCAGATATAACTTGACAGGCATAACTCAAGTTGTTCAAGTTTTTGCATAGGCTTCCCTTAAGAGCAAAAAATGCCAGAAAATGCACAACAACAAGCCGTGATTATTTTTAATATTCCTGCTTTCACTTTCCTCCAAAAATCTGACCTTTATTGAAAACTTTACAGAACAAAGTCCAGTTTAAAAATGAATAAGAGCAATAAACAGCTCTTATATGGTGAAACATTGTGGGAATGGTTTGGACCAAATAATAATTACGTGTTATAATAGCCTTAAGAAAAACGTCCAAACTAAATCTGGTTGAGAATCTAAGGCAAGTTTGAAATGTAGCTACCAAGTCACAATTATTGCACACAGACATAAATGAGACATTAATCTATTTTGGAAAGAGTAAAAGGCTAGTGGTAGATTCCTGTAGGACTCTTAAAAAGTCAGGGGTCATAGAAGTTTCAGTGCCCTAAAAACCCAAACCTCAAAATGTAGTAGAACAACAAAGGCATATGCATAACATAGACTAAAGTTGGTAAGAAAAACTGAATTTGGTGAAGATTTGGTGTCTATTTCTTTTTGCTTTTTGTTTTAACTTAATAAATCTGTCCATGAGACCTCCAGCAATGAGTCACTTTGGTCAGAGGTGCAGGGTTGATTACAAACTAGGATACAAACTAACAAATTTCACCACCCATGAGACCAGCTAAAACAATTTTCCAGACATGGCGTTTAATGGCCTGTGGAAAGCAGAGCGTGAAGCCTTTTGCTTTCAATGGCAGCCTGATTCTTCAGAGCTTCTTTTGGGACTCATAAGAAGGAAATGCCCCTGTGTGTTTTAAAGTAGCTAAATTCCTTTCAAAGGAAGTGATTTATTGCTGGACCTCTTCACTGAATATTGTGCATCAGTGCCATTCACAGGCTATGATCTACTATTGTCATTAGGGCTGAAAACATGTTTGCTTTGCTGCCTAGAGCTATAACTCATCAATAACCCACTTCATGGATATGGTTAAGCCAGATGAGTAAATTTTACAGTAATGACACCGGCTGAATTAAAGTCATTGATGGGGTCATTCCTTTCTCCTACAGTAATATTAGTAACAACAAAGTTAAATCATGAATTACTTTTATCGATGAGAAGCTGGTAAGAATCCAGAAGAAGAATCCATCAAAACATTTCTGACAGTAAACAAATTTCAAAGGTATGGCTTTCAGTTTTAAATGTAGAACAATTTTTCCACCACTCTTTAGTACCAGCTAGATACTATATTAGAAAGTCATAAGATTGTGATTTTATTCGTAGTGAGGAGCAACAACAAAACAAACAGTAATAAAAATTATAAAAATAATTCTGACTTTGCTTGACTGAAGCAGTAAACATAAAACATGATATAACTCAGGGTTTCATAGAGGTCAACAGATTTACAGAAACAAACTTCCATGTGAAAATAACTAAGCAATGGCATAACATTAAAACACAAATCTCTAACCACAGTGAGCAATCAAATGCTGCCTTTTTTAATAAAAAAAATTGTTGCATGCAAAAGATAACACTGGTTTTGTCCAAGTCAGACTTTGACCCCTCATCAAATTATAAGAATGACTAACAGACACAAGCTGGAATACAATAACATTTGAGCTTGGGCTTAAAGGTTTCTGTCTT